AATAAGCAAGACAATAAATGTAACGATACAATTGTATAAGTACAATAAGGCGGTCTTATTACTGAAAGCAGTCTTTTGAAAACAACCTTAGGGTAACGGACTAATTGTTGTACAAGTAGGAATGATATTATTATATAATTAAGAAAGTTTGAAATAACGGCTTAATGTTTATTAATATAATATTTACTTAAATGTTATATTGACTACTATTGACGATACAAATTAAAACATATATAAGCCTAGGACTGTATTGTTATTATAAATGCACAGAATAAAAGAATAAAAAAAAATTTACAAACCATCATTGTTTCAACCATATTTTAGGACTACCACTAAATGAATGTTTATTACTCTGTCACCCAAAAACTATTGAACGGATTTGAATGAAATTTGACACACTGATAGGTTATATTCAAACTTTATTATAGAGTGCTTTATATACTGATTAGTGTGAACGAAGCGGTAGGATACTGTTAGTAAATAATCAATAAATAATTACTTCGGCATGAGTAAGGAAGTGCGTGGAGTTAAGGGGAAAATGAGAGACAAGATGTCATAGAATGAATGCGGAACAAGCTCACGTGCGTCAATTTGTGCTTGTCATTCGCACCCCGTCACGTCACGTCACGTCACGTCAACGTGATTATTGCGGTTCCGTACAATCCAATGGATGATATGTGTTTCAAAATAAATAATAATAAATATCACTAAATGTAACAACTCCATCCAACCTAAAAATTAGTAGAATTTATACTATCGGTATTAGACAACTGATATACTTACATACATACAAATATTTAATTAATTTTCCAATTTATTTTGTTAAATCAATACACCACTATTTACTCTTTCTACTTACCGTAACCGTTGACTGGTAGAGAATTCAATCAGGCATTAAGTCCACCCTGTAGACATGTTTTAAAGTGTGCAAAAGAATAAATAAATAAATAAATAAAATAAATACATGATTTTGTAAATTCATACATATTATATGTCAACATAGTTGGTCCAGAAGTGTTCCTTATGGCAGTCTATGAGGGAGGCCTATGTTCAGCAGTGGGCAGGTAACGGCTGATATGATAATGAAAATAACTATAAAAAAAGTCATACTGATTGACACAAATGCGATGATTATTATGTGGGGATCGAACTCGCGACCATTGGAACGTGAGGCGGTAAGTTAAACCGCTAGACCACTAAGGTAATATATTTATTGTCATATTTTAGTTTTTTCAAATTCACGCAAATTTTTTTATAATACTTAGAATTGCAAACAAGCTGTAAGAACATCTGATGGGAAATGGTAACCGTCGCTAGTAGACATAAAAAGGTTTATGAACATCATAGAATACACATAGATAGTGGCTGAAATGATGATGATGGCTATGTCTAAAATTATATTGTTAAAACATTAAAAAGCCCGTGCATTGAAGTATGTAGGCGATGCACTACGATTTTAATTTATTTTTATTATTATTTTTTTAAAATAATAATAATATAAATAAAAATTAAATACTGAGGGTACGCACTAAACTTAAAAAAATTAGAATTACCTTTTTCTTGGTTTAGTGCGTGCTCTGTCAGTGCATAGGCAGTATCTAAAAATCGGTTTCTTATTTCCCATCCTTTATAGAGTATTATAGCGAGATGGAAATACATATATGAGAAAAATAATGGATATAAAATAAATGCGATCCAAATGCGAGCGTTGCGCGAAATTTGCGGAGTAAGACTGGCAAACCGCATCCGTAATGCAGTAGCGCAAAAATGAGTTCATTTAAAGAAATGTCGATGTAAAAATAAAAAAAGGCTTAAATTTTTTACTGAAGTAGGTGTTGTTTTGCAAAATTCCATATCACTGGCTATTTGATTAGGATTATCTTGTTTAAATCTGCTACCATTAGTATGCGTGCGACTGATAACACTCGAAGATTGATATACATAGACGCCTATAGACATGAGCAGTACCAATATTGGGGGGTTTACCGATAGTTGCTATGATTAGTAGAAAGATTGGCAACCGCAATTAGACTTTGGTGATGTTTTAAGAGAAACGCTGCTGCCCATCCCTTTACTATTAAGTTCCCTTAGTCGCCTCTTACGACACCCACTAGAAAGGAAGGAGTGGCCCATTTTATACCGGGCCCACATGGCAATTCGAGACAAAATCCAAGGAATACTATTATACGTTAATAAAATCGTCTGCACTCAGTATTTATACTTTTTTTTCTTGTAATTGTTTATATTCATAATAAGCTTACTATTGTAATTTTATGGAGGATACAATAAAAAGTATCTACCTGTCTATTCATACTAAACACAGTATTACCACAATATAAAAAAAATTCATTGTATTAAATATTCTTCTAATATTAAAATGCGTTATAAATAATTAGCTCGGATTCTTTGATTAAAAATCAAAGAATTAAGGATATTATTGGTTCCATAATCCGTAATCAGTAATACAATATAGGCTCGGAGATCTCTGGAATTCTCAGAAGTGGAATCTTATTCTATACGTAAGTACTTATTCATCTTATAAATCACGAAGAATTTTTCCAATCATTTTTTCCCGTGATTGAGTCGAAATTAAACCCTTAAAATATTTAGGCATTTCCTCTTCACGGTTGATTGCGTTCATAAACCTCACTGTCCCTGTGTTCAGTCAGAATCGTGTGATTACCCTCATTTGGGGTAGTAAATCGTTTTTTGGAGATTTTGAGCTTTTTTAAATTTTGAAAAGTTTTAAAATTGTTTAAATCCCCTGGCAAATAAATGATAAATATTTTTCAAAATTTTTTGCAATATTTATATATTATTAATAGCTAAAACTGTTTCAAATTTCCAATCGATTTTAGTAGTTGTTAAAACGTAATGCTGTGACAGAAGGACCGACAAAGTCGCACCATTTTTAATTGAAAATCTAAAAAAGGTAATTATATAATAATTTATTTATACAGAAAAATGTTTAGTACAAAAAACGTTATTAATGCTATAAAGCATTCTCTTTCAGTCAACATTTGGAGAAACAGAAATGTAATAATTTAGTAAAATATATAGAACACCGTTGTGGATAAATAGTAACAGACTTAACTATATTGACTAACAAATTATATAATATATACAATGAAGAACTATTATATATAATGATATATAATATTATATATGATCATATAAATATATTTAGAATAATACGTAATACAAATAATATCGTCACATCATCATTTACTTACCACGTTGTATTAATTAATTAAATACGAGCGAAATGTGAGCCTGGCGAGTGCTACGTTCGCCACAATGACAAATGTGTCGACATTTGACTTGAAATGACTCTAACTAGATATACTATTAGAGATTAAAGTCATTCACTTACATTTATTTATTTATATTCATTTTTGATGTTTATACTATTTTTACCCGACTACCAAAGAAATAAAAAAATGTTTTATGCAACTTGGCAAACAAGCTTTTGAGCAGTCGCTCACCTGATGGAAAGTGGTAACCGTCGCCTATAGACATAACAGAGAATCCTGTTTCGCCCATGATACCACCCATGCGTTGCCATTCCTGAAGACTCGCGTGGTATTCCTCTGTACCCTATAAATTCACTGCCATATCCCATCCTTCAAACTGAAACACAGTCATTCAAACACAACTGCTTCACGGTAGAAACACGAATGGGACAGAGGTGCCCAAGCAGACGACTTTTGTACAAAGGATAATGTTATTTGGATGTAAATACATATATTTTATGTACGCCCTGATTGTTAATGCAACAAATGACCATAATGGCTTGATGTATTTTTATAAATATAACATCGTTAGGTTAATCTTAAATATAAGGTTACTACAGGCTACATGACAAATTATTAACCCGTTAAAATAAGTGATTTAGCTTCATATATTTTTTTAACACGAAAATGGATTTTAACCCCGCCTACGTTATTAATATACGAATGGGCGGTACCTGTGAGGGATGACAGATGAGCATAAAGTCAAATCAACTGACCCACCGTGACAAATTTAACAGGATTTAACCACAATGTTTTCCAAGATAAATGATGTAGAGGTCTGCAAGAACACGTAGAGGACTATGATAATTCTAGCAATAAGGCCGATAGGTATTATAAATGGGGTTTCTATTTATAACCTATAATATAATAAATTATTTCCCTTCAATTATTTTAGAGTCAAATTTTTCAAGACTATCTGTCATACGTGTATTTATTTTAGTATAGATATTGGAAGTTTGAGTTTTTTTTAATGGGTGATAATGGAATGACAACCCCGCCTTTCGGAATACGCTAACGGGGCAATGAGAGATAATAGATAAGAATTAGCCGATCACGACATATTTCATAAGACTTAATAACAATAATTCCAAGACAAACCGCGTGGAGCTCGACCGTAGAACGACCGTTGAATAAACAATCCCTTAGTAAGCGTTTTTATGTGTATTCACTAGTTTGGTATTTCATACTTCACATGGTAAAAACTATACTTAATTAGGTACTAACTGTAATATAAATTTGTTCTAGTGGTTCTTAACTTTTTTTTTTAATTGTATTCACTTATAACACCATCTCTCTTATAATTTAAGACTTTTCTCTTATCGATGCAACTAATTCATGTATCCTCTTCCAGCCAGCTCTATCGCAGGCCATATCTTTAACCTCCCTATTCGCCATGACACTCAGTGTTTCCTTTTTCTGTCCCATGTAGATCTATGTAGTTGTTATAGCATTATAAAGTAAAAATATTTTTTTAATAATAAATTTTGTAAATATTCATATAATGTTACTCAACCACACTTAAATAAGTTTAATGGATTGGATTCAATTTATTGATACATACGTTTTTGATGTACATATACTGTATGGGATGGAGAAGAATATAGGGTACTTTTTATCGTGGTCAGTAAATATATGACGGTCATGCAAACGAAGTCGCACGTAAAATACGAGTATATTAGTTTCATACATCACAATCTTCTGTCGTAGGTACGTGGCCATCATGAGCCCACTGCGGCCGCGCCTCGGCAAGCGGGCGACGTTGGGCATCGCCGCTGCAATCTGGGCTGGCAGCTCAGTAATCAGCAGCCCGAACCTTATATACTTCACCACAGAGACCACAATACTGCCTGATGGGAGCACCAGGTACGTAAACAAGTGTGAATTGGTATGCACAGAAATCTACTTAAGTTGCGTAGGCACTTCCGACGAAATGTGTCATAGATAGATTTCCAATTTGTGTATTTATTTTATTTACTCTTTACTGAGCATTAAAAATACAAGTACAAAAAAAATACAAAACCTTTTTATTTGGAAAAAACACAAAGTTAGAATCTTAAGATACTAGGCGAACCTGAATCGTGGGTATTCAGTATCGACAAAGATTAACACTTCCAAAATTACATATTGATCGGGTATTAATATAAACGCTTATATTATATAAATACAGTGTCTCCATAGAAATTCTTCGAGAAAAACAGATCAACTTTTTCATACTTAAGATGTATGGAAAACTTTTTTTCGTTTACCAATCACTTAAAACATTAAAACAAAACGAAGAAGCAATACGAAAAAGAGAACAAAGCATAAGCAAACACGAGGGGGGGAAAGAAGAAAACCTTACTACAATGCAACGACGTAGTAGGATAGATTATATCTTTCATTTACGGGGAAAACCAGGATAAACGCAGTAGTGGAAAGTTAATGACTTGCTTAGATAAGATATAATACCTAGTTAGGTATGTAGTAAACAGAGGGTCCAGATACATGCATGCTCGATCGGGTGGTAGTACAAAAAATACAATTAAAAGAAGATTAGCTCAGGCAAACGTGTTAACGAGAGATAAGCTATACCCTACTTCCTACTTATAATAAATGTGATTGTTTGCAAAAACGTTTGGATATTTGTTACTCAATAACACCATTACAATACATTAGCTTTTACCCACGTCTTCGTTCGCGTATCTGGGATATATTTATGACCATGTAGTATATTTAAATAAATATATATGTAGTTATAATATACATATGTTAATAGAAATTTAAATGAGTAACCATTAAGTTTCTTGTGGGCTCTTCTCAGCAGATCACAACATTTCAGACCCTGCAGTAGATTAAAAAAATTAAGATTTAAAAATACTTATAAACAAGTCTATTTAAATAAAGATGATTTGAATTTAAATTTGTTTGATTGATATGTATGTGTATGTATGTATATGTATATGTGTGTGTATGTGTATGTATATGTGTGTATATGCGTGTATGTGTGTGTATATATATATATATATATGTATGTATGTGTATGTGTGTATATATGTATATAATTTTCATATACTTTTAATTTGCAAAAGATGCTTTTTTAATTATACAGCACTTTCATATCTACTTGTACAACAATTAGTCCATTACCTTAAGGTTGTCTTGAAAAGATTGCTCCCAGCAATAAGACCGCCTTACTGTACTTATACAATTATATCGTTGTGTTTATAAATTGCCTTGCTTATTTCCTATATTGTATAATGCAAATAAAGTATGCTCATTCATTCATTAAATTTACTGATTATAAAAATAGCCTATATCGTATCTTGTCCCATATAGTACACGTATAGCAAATTTCATAGTGTAAGCATATACAATAAATAGAGTATTTTCTTGGCTTTCACACAAGCAAAGTTGCGTGTTACAGCTATCAGATCCAGAATCTTAAATCGCTTGGTAGCAAGTCAACGCGCCTATTGTGAACTTATTCAATTTAAACACACAAGATATTACTTTCAAACTTATAGTGTCATTAAAACTGCTAGAGAAATAGTCCTTTTCGTTTAAGTTCACCAAAAGTCATATACACCTACATAAAACACACTGCCGAAAGTCAACCTCGGTCGCTCTCACTTCATCTTTGTAATTTTCATTGTTTATAAGCGTTTCTGACTGTTAACTCAAATACAACAGATCCTAACTTTATTAGATAAACTACCAAGTCCAAACTCGTTAACGGTCAACCAATAACTATGCCCACGGAATGGAGTTCCAGCAAAATAAACAGTAAAATTAAAGTCAAACAAAATTTTAACGATTCCAATTATTGTATAGGTAAAGATTTACCCTTCTTACTCATGAAAACGTCTAACACTGAACAAACTTATTTTCGATATTAAAGTGAGGATATTTCTTATTTATATCTAATAGTCTATTTAGGTATCTATCTATATAAATCAGAAATAAGATAAGGTTAAATTTTTAGCATGAAATTGATAAAACGAAAAACTTTTAATAAACTTGTAATGTCTTAGCTATAAAAAAAAACTGAATACTGACATTGGTAAGCACATAACATGAGAACAGTTGAATCGATTTAGCAGTTGTTAATATCCGAAATATTATAATTAATAAATGAAACAAAAATTCATATAGAAGGGCAATGTTAATCAGGTCAACTGTTTGATTTTTTAATGAAAAGTACACATTAGGAAACCACTGTAATCGAATAGTATTGTTTTCTATAATATGAATTGTGTAATTTTATTTTATGTTTATATCTATTAGATTATTGTAATTTTTTTTTATACAACTTAGAATGGCAGACAAGCTGACGGTCCACCTGATGGAAAGTGGTAACCGTCGCCTATAGATGTGAGCAGTACCATGGACATAACAAAGTATACTGTTTCACCCATGCATTGCCATTCCTGAGGACTCAGGTGTTATTCCTCTGTACCCTGTAAATTCACGTCATATCCCATCCTTCAAACCGAAACACAGCCATGCAAACACAACTGCTTCACGGTAGAAACACGAATGGAACAGAGGTACCCAAGCAATCGATTTTTGTACTTTAAAAAATACAATTTCTATATATTGTATTTGAAACTTATCAGAATATGTCGACGTATACACGAATATAATGTAAAATTAATTTAATATCTATTTGTATGAGAATGGAATCAAAAGGCTATCTTAGTTGAACGTCTAAAATCTATAAAGTACATAAAAATGAGAATATAATAATAATCTTTAATAAGGAAGATATTATATGTGATATTATAGATAAGGATCAGTGACGATAGTACAGCGGTGGACTCATTCCTAGAAGGAATATCTTGAAGTAATGTATATTAGAATCAGTCGAGCGAATCATGGAATAAAGCTGAATCCCTCCATTATTTATAGTCACGTAGAGAGGTGTTTATTAAGGTCTTGTTTAAGGTAAACCGGTAGGCAAGGTTCCCTACAGCCCTAGGGAGCGTAAACAGAAAACACAGGGTTATTTAAAGGTCTCAGAGTAAGGCAAAGTAACCGCATGCCACAAATATTAGCACACTATTTCAATAATATATTTACAAATAGTGACTTATCCTTCATTTAGGGTTTAAAACATACTTATGTAACGATTACAAAAATATTATCTAAATTAACTCAGAATTAGCGATACAGTCTACAAAAAAATATATAATATATGTGATGAATTGAATGAATGAATGACTGAATGAATGACGGAATGAAAAACTCTTAATCGTTCCCTCCAAAGAATAGTACTGGTTACTGTTGAAAGTGAACCATACAGCGCCATCTAGTTTCCTCTTTCGCTGTCATTCCTTTTTTTTTATACAACTTAGAATGGCAAACAAGCTGACGGCCCACCTGATGGAAAGTGGTCACTGTCGCCTATAGACATGAGCAGTACCATGGACATAACAGAGTATACTGTTTCGCCCATGATACCACCCATGCGTTGCCATTCCTGAGGACTCAGGTGTTATTCCTCTGTACCCAGTAAATCCTTCCTTGGCTCTCATGCATTTTCCTGTGTGGCCGCACTTTGTTTTCACTCTGTATGTTTTTTGCTTATTTTAAGTAATTAAAAAGGTTTATCATTAAATTATTATTACTTTTATTCCATCAGTTACATATGTTGACAAAAAACAATGTACACAAAAAATTTTAATTACAAGAAGCAAAGTAAAAAGAAATTGTAAACCTTTTTTCTTCTGAAAGTTGCTTAAAAAAGCTATCATTTACCGTAAGAAACATATAATATTTTTGTAGAACTGTAGACAAATGGCTATTTGTGAAATAAAACCCGTGCTAAAGGCTAAAATACTTTCGGGCCAAGCGTAAAAGTTTTATGACTACATCGTTAGGATGTTATCGTCCAGCTTCTATACACAAGGTTATTGTTCCACCAAAAACTGCTTTAAAGGTAAGAATTAAGATGGTTTGAAGGTATTCATCTTCGTGTAAAAGTACAGCCGTAGATTAATAGTATCTAGATAGAGTATCTCTTTACAAATCTCGGCCAAACATATCCCAGTTTTTTAATTGTTATGTGAGTAAATTTATTTTATACAACGCACGTTATGTTACACAATTCATCAATATGTACTTAAATAATCCTTACTAATATAATTATAAATATGAAAATACGTTTGTTTATTTGTTATGCCTTGAAAATATAGAGTTACCTTTTGCCAAATTTATAACAACCATACCATTATTCTTTAATGGCTCAACCAGCTATGACTTGATTTGCCACATTCATACAATGTGCAATGACATAGGCTACTTTTTGTCCCAGTCAATCGACGTATTTCTGTCACGCAAAGGAAATCATGAGTCAAATCTTGTATACAAGAATTAATTGAATATAACAAATAATAATAATAATACTTATTAATTGCAGTTGTTAAAATGACACGTTATATTGTATTTAATATATACAGTTGGTTTATTGTCTTCTAAGACTTTTTTGATATCGACACTCCATCTGAAATAGTTTGATCTGAAACAGTCAGTGTGATCTAATCCTTACTATTATGCCTATGTAGATTAATTCATTCAATTTAAACCCTTATGAATTTAAATTACGATTCTAAATAATAGCATTGTCAATATGAAGTCTGCTTTCCTCATCTACATATAAACATTTAAATAGAAATGCTTAAACAGTTATATAAAATACAGGTCTCATCAAAAATCGACTGTGGCACTTTACATTAAGCCTCATTTCAACCGAGCTGAATTTTTATAGCGTCATTAATAGCTAATTACTCACTTTTACTGTCATTTGTTTTCTTTAGGAAAGAGGTCGGTTGTACCCTACTAGATCCTGGCTTACCAGGATCACAACAGTAAATTATAATGAGATT